CAGCCTAAGCAACAAAGCAAGACCCTGTCTCCACATGGCTGCAGTGAGCCATGATCACGCCATCATGTTTGAGACTTTTGCCTTTGTAGTCATCAAATATAAAGGAACTTGAATACTTAACGCCAATATACCATTGATTGGGCCCTACCTCAGCCAGGATAAGAGAAGGTTTCCAGGATTTCTAGATCTCCTTCCTCCTAGATGCGGAAACTGTAAAGTCACTGGGCTGTCTAATACTCTCCCTCTGGTGTTGATTCAGAATCACTGGGTTTTTTCTGATACAATGCCTAGGAAAGCAAGTCAGCCATCACAAGCAATAGAAGCTGTGGGTCAAATGTCACTGACTAATCAACCTGTCAGTAGTCAATTACCCATCCCTATGAAGGGGTGCCACTCATCTAGTTTCCTGTCAATAAATGTCTATCTGGCCACATCAACCGTTGCTAACTGCAGCCTGCCAAGATCTCCAGCATCGTCCACAAGCATTGGTGGCTAAGAAATTTCTCTCCCTTTCCTCTTAATAATGTCACAGAAGAGGCAAATGCAGTTCCTGACAACATAATGTTAGTTTCACAGAGACGTGTCTCTTTGAAGGCTCAGCCAGTTATACAGAGCTTCAATTGCATGGATTTTTTTCCACTGGGAAAAAAAAAAAAAGCAGGCGTAAGGTGGCTGGAGGCTTCATACGGTGCTGAGATACACAATTCTGCCTTTGGTGTGTTCATGCTCATCATCTCCACTCTGAGTCAGGAAAAGAAAGATTGTTTGGGAGGACCACTTTCATTCCACATTTAAGGAAAACCAAAATGGACACTTTTCTCTCTTGCGTTAAGTCCCAGTGACATCCTTTTCTGGGTTCAGATTCAACGTCTCTGATTCTCTGGGTAGAGCTAGAGGCCAAGGTGGCCTTGCCACATGAAGAGCCTGTTTATCTCTCTGAGTTGTCACTCTGATAACAACCTCATGCAGTCCACATTAGATGTAAAATTCTAGACTTCCTACTGTACTCTCCTCCCAATTTCCCTTTCTTTCTTGATGGACTACCTCATCAGTACATTGAATCTTTCAAGGGAAGCTTATTGCGAGTTGCCACAGGTTTTTATATATCAAGTAAGGCTGGGAGGAGGCAGCAAGTGAACATTTATAATACAAATGCTCTGACAGAAATTGTATACAAAATATATGGGATTATTGAAGAGGGATCTATCAATAAGGCCAGGAGATAACGGATGGTTAGAGAAGCATTCCCAAAGGAGTGGAGCCTTAAAGGGGGAATAAAAAAAAAAAAAGCCAGGTAGAAAGGGAGGTAATGAGAAGGTAGTGAGAGACGCAAACAATGATATCAGCATGGTCAAAGAATTAAAGGCACGAGGGTAAGATGCTCTTAACAGCAGGACAGGCTGTGACAGAGTCCAGAGTAGCACAGGGTTGGGTAGTGTTGGGTGGGGGGGTGCTGACACAGGACACAAGGCTGTATAGACAGAGGTAGGTCAGATAGTTCCTAAATGCCTTAGTCTGAACTTTCTCCAGAAGGCAAGTATTAATCATGAATCCTTTGAGAGGAGGGTGTGGTCCTATCAGATGTGTGGGAGGGATGGTTGTGGGTGGGGAAGTGGGGGTCCCAGTGGAGGTCTGGAAAATCAGGTAGAAAACTGAAACAACTACTGTGTAACTATGGTAATGCAGTGGGACAGAGAAGAGGAAAAGAATTTGCGAGATGTTTAGGCCACATTGACAGAACTTTATGGCTGACTGGATGAGAGAGGAAAGTGAAGGAGAGGAAGGAAATCAGGGAGATTCCCATGTCTTTGGCTCCAGTAATGGACAGGTGGATGGTGCCACTGAATGAGATGGGGAATCATGACATGATGTGACTTGAATAGGGAGGGAAGAATAATGGAATCCCATTTTAGACATCTTGGTTAGAGATGTGCGTAGAGCACTGTTAGATGGTGGTGGTGGGAGGGAGGGGGGTGTGGGGTAACAGGTAAGCAAATGGAATATGGAGAACATTAAAAGAGAGTGGGCAGAGCTACTAAGCTTCCCATTTATTTCAATCTTCACTGGCAAGGAGACTGGTCTTCAAATTAGAAATGTCAGAACAAACATAATAAAGAGAAAATTGAAGTCCCAAATAGGTGAAGTGAAAGAGAGTATCTAGTCAATTTAAATGATTTTGAGTCTCCTGACTCAGATGAGTTACACCCCAAGCCTGCTGAAAGAAATTGCAGATGTAATCTCAGAGCCACGATTGGTAATCTTCAAGAAATTGTGGAGGCTATCAGGAGTGCCAGTAGACAAAAGACAGACAACTGTTTTCCAGATTTTTAAAGTAAAGAGGGATAGATTGTAATGGAAAATAGAGATAAGTTTCACATCATCTTTAACAAAAATTCTTGAATAGCTTATTAAATAGATAGTTTATGAGTACTTTAGTTAATGCATACAAATAAGAGAAAGGAAGGTGGGGCGCTGTTTGCTATTTGATGGAAGTTGATTTGTACAGGTAGCTGATGTGGCCTGTCTCTTCCCCTTCCTAAGCACAAAGTAAGTTGGTCTGGCATGTGGTATGAACTCGAGGCTTCTCCATCTGTGATTGGTTGTCTATGGTACTTAGTCTGTAGTGTGACCCTTTATAAAAAAGGGCTGACGATGTAAATGAAAAATTCACAGTCTGAATACTCCAAGAAACCCAGCATCAACTACTTAGGGTACCCTGGGAGACCAGCAAGCATTAACCTCTGTGGTTATTAGCCTAAACATCAATAAACCTTTGCTTACTCGAATATTTATTTTTCTACCTTATTTTTTGTGCTATTTCTTTCTGTATACATACTCACTCTAAAATGAGAACAGGAAACAACAAGCAAATGTGGTGAAACATTACAGGGGAAAGGCAAGTTATGCCTTGCCAACACCTTTACTTCAGGTGGGCTAAGATAGACATATACATATACACATTACATTTTTTCATTTAGCCCTTCAGATACCTTCTTAGAACATTAAAAAAAAAGAAAAGAAGAAGAAGAAGAAGAGAAAAGAAAAAGCAGCCTGCTTAAGACCCAGATGGCTCTCTTGAACTAAAAGTACAGGCATGCACTGCATAATGATGTTTCAGTTAAGGACAAACTGCATCTACGATCATCTCACAAGAGATAACAGAGCTGAAAAATTCCAATCGCCTAATGACATCATAACGTTGTAGCAGTATTACTTCATTAAAAAAATAGAGTGTTGGCCAGGCGCTGTGATTCATGCTTGTAATCCAGCACTTTGGGAGGCCGAGGCAGGCAGATCACTTGAGGTCAGGAGTTCGAGAGTAGCCTGGCTAATATGGTGAAATCCCGTCTCTACTAAAAATACAAAAAGTAGCCAAGCGTGGTGGCAGGTACCTATAATCCCAGCTACTCGGGAGGCTGAGGTAGGAGAATCGCTTGAACCTGGAAAGTAGAGGTTGCACGCTAGCCTGGGTGACAAGAGTGAGACCCTGTTTCTCCCTCCCCGCCAAAAA